TGAACAAGATAAACAAAATCCTTACCCTCGTCAGCTCACATTTTAATGGGGTGGGGTGGCATTAAGGTTAAAAAAAAGTGCTTAATGAATTAAATAAAGGGTGTTTCCAGACACTGACTTCAGATAGGAATGAAAGGTGACAATTAGCCTGAAAAGTCTGAGGGATGAAAAGGACTCAGCCAAGGAAAAATCATTCCAAGTCCAAACATGGTAGCCTGAGGCACAAGCTTGGCAGAAATTTGCTTAGTGTTTCTAGAGTAGGAAGACCAGGTTGAAATGTACGATAAAGGAAGAGTGGAAAGAGAGATGGGCAGAAAGGCAGGCAGAGGCCAGATGCTTCAGAGCAGGCAGAGTAGGTCAAGCATGGAGTTTGGAGGCAACTGGCTTCAGCAGAAATGATGGTGGCTTGGATGTGGGTGCTGGCAGTGGGAATGTGGTTAAGTGGATGCTTGCAGGACATATATTTATAGTTACCAGTTGCCATCAAGTCAATTTTGAATTGTGGCAGTACCACATGCATTTAAGTAGAATAGGGTTTTCAAGGAGTAAATGATCAGCCCTTTCTTTGAGGCACTTCTTGGTGAACTCACACCTCCAACCTTCGGGTTAGAAGCTGAGCATGTTTTCACTACTCAGGGACTCATATAGATGTTGTTGGAATTAACACGACTTGTTGACTGACTGGAAGGGGATAAGGTGGAGTTTGAAATGGAAGAATATCATCGAGAGGAGGACAGCTCACCTCTGCCTGGGAGAAGTACCTCAGGAATATTTTTTCAAAGAGGTGACATTTAAGCACAAACTTAAAAGCAGGCAGGAGTTTCCAGATAGCCAAGAGACTGGTAAAGAGCTCTTTTGAATCTTGGTTTCCTAGTCATACCATTATAAAATAGACACTTGAGGGGGAGAGAAAGGAATAGCCAGAAATATCACCATAGAAAGCTTATGTCTGTTTCTGCCTAGAACTGATTGGAATACCTAAAATGGGGGAAATTTCCACTTGAAAGAACAAGCAGGCTAGCCTGGAGCGGCTAGAAGAACAGAAGATACTTCTTGAAAGAAAGACCGACAGGAAAAATACAAAACAATACAGGCAGTCCAACTGATTACTACAAGAACAAGCAAGTTGCTCACCCAGTAGACATCAAGCCAAGTGGTCAGGTCCCCTCAGGGCAAACCCCCTTCCAAGACTAAGATTCAATGGGAATACACAAGCAGACATGTGCTCTGATTGGTGACCACGTTCGTCACCGATAAGGGGAAGTGAGGGAAAAACAGCAATGAAGCTGCGAGCTAAGCCCTACAACGTTCAATAGACTCCTGTGAACCTGAGTGGAGACCTGGTTGGCCAGCAGCATGGCAAGACCTAAGGACTCTTGGGCGCAGAGTCAGTGACATAGCCACAGAGGACTAAAGTGGAGAGTGAAGCGTCCAGCTGATAAGAAGAGAAGCATATGCGTAAGAACACCCACACCTGTAGATAATACCCACTCAACCTGGCTTCAATGACTGGATGATCAGAGCTCAACTAGAAGAAGAAAGAAACGGGAAAAAAAAAGAGTAATCTGATACAATTTGATGAACTTGATCTACTCCTATGGATGCAGTAGTAGCTCAAAAGAGGGAACAAATCTTTATAACGAGGATCATTCCCACCCCCTCCATACACAGAGTAGACAGGGATGGGGAACTTGGATATTGGCTACCCAAAATGGGGGTAGGGAGCCCTACAAAGGCAAGAAGTGGCTGGTTTACAAGCTTACAAGAAGGAGCCTAGATCCAGAGGGCTCAGAGGAAGGTAGAATCTCCACTGAGTAGTATCCAGTATGTCTGGGTGGGACTGATGAAAGGAGATGGGGATAGGCCCCTTGTGGTACAATGGTGAATAATTATTATCAGGACTGACTGTGAGGGTTGTAAATGCAAAGGTGGACATTTTATAGCAAAAGGAGGGCAGTGATTGACTTTGCAGTCTAGGACAGGAGCCCAGGTCCCTGGAACCACCAAGGGAGAAGAGCAGAGTGCGAGACCCTACCCAGAGAAGCAGTGAGGCTAGAGATGGAGGCAAAGACAATGAATGACGTGGAGCTATGGAGCAGCTGGGGACTCTAGATCCAGAAAGGGAGAGTGGCTGTGTGCTGACGACCGGGGCAGGCTTGCAGGGCATACCCTTTGGTTGGTTGATGATGCATGGAGGGGACTGTAACCATGGCAATGAAATGATAGATAGGATGAATGTAAAGCTAATGTTCTCCAATGTAAACTATTACATAATTCAAAATAAAACATTAATTTAAAAAAAAAAAAGAACTCCAAGTAGAAGAAACAGCATGGAGAGGATAGGTTATGAACTATGACATTTTCCAAGGGAATGTTTAAAGTATTATAATAATAATTATTCACTTAAAATTCAGATCTAAAACTCTGGTATTATCAGACTCTGCAAAGGCTAGATAGATTAGATCTATGCCACATTCCAGAAACCATAAACAGTAGTTCCTTTATGTTAATATATACTTGTTGAGTCTTGCGATGTACCAGGCAGGACAGGTCTAGTGGTGAAGACCCACATCCAGGGCCAAGGTAACAAACTTGTAACCTCAGTTTTGATAAGCGCAATGAAAGAAAAGGACATAAAACAATGAGACTGATTCTAACAAGAGAGCCTTACCTACTTTTAAATGTCAGGCATTGAAACTGACACCTAACTGCTGGGTAGAAGAGACCCAGACAAAGACATCTGGGACCTATGCCAGGCAATTGGATAAAGAGGAAGACTGATGAAGAAGACGAAGAAGAAAAAAAAGGAGTAAGTGAAACGGTCACTTTGATTTTCTAATATAGATGATGGGGAGCACAGTGGCTTTGAGAATCACAAGGTCAGTGGTTCAAGTCCACCAGCCTGTCTGTTGGAGAAAGATGAAGCTTTCTGCTCTGCAAAGATTTACAGCCTAGTAAACTCTATACAGCAGGGGTGGGGAATCTTTATTTCTGCCAAAATTTATAACAGAATTCACAGGTCATACAAAATTATCAACTTGAAAATTAGCCTGTTATAGCTGATCAAACGTTTAATTAACTCACCCCTAATGTGATGGTTAAGGAGCTCTGGCAGCGTAGTGGTTATGAATCGGGGTGCGAACCTTAAGGTCAGCAGTTCAAAACTTCCAGCTGCTCTGTGAGAGAAAGATTAGGTGTTCTGCTCCTGTAAAGATTTATAGCCTCGGAAACCCTGTACATGGTCACTATGAGTCGGAACCGACTCTACGGCACATAACAACAACAACAATGCGATGGTTAAGGAGCTCTGGTAGTGTAGTGGTTACAAATCTGGCTACTAGCCTCAAGGTCAGCAGTTCTAAACTACCAGCTGTTCCACAGGAGAAATATGAGGCTTTCTGCTCCTGTAAAGAATTACAGCCTTGGAAACTCTATGCAGTGTCACTGAGTCGGAAAGGACTCCATGGTACTCAACAACAACAATGTGATGGTTGGAGTCCTGGCTCTGTGGGTAATGTGTCAGACTGCAAAGCCGTTTGAACTGCAAGGTTGGCGGTTCAAGCTCACCAGATTCTCCTCGGAAATCCTATACTGGGTCGCTATGGGTCGGAACCGACTCGACGGTACTTCACAACAACAATGTAATGGCTAAAGGAGCTCTGATAGAGTAGTGGTTACTAATCGGGCTGCGAGCCTCAAGGTCAGCAGTTTGAAACTACTAGTTGTTCTGCGGGAGAAAGATGAGGTTTTCTGCTCCCGTAAATATTTACAGCTTGGAAACCCTGTACAGGGTCTCTGTGAGTCGGAACCGACTCCACGGCACATAACAACAACAACATGATAGCTGGAACAGCGGTTGCCTTGGCAGGGCCAGACCTAATGATTTCCAGGACCTTATATGGCCCGTGGGCCGGATGTTCTCCACCCCTGCTATGCAGGGTCGCTATGAGTCAGAACAAACTAGACCACACTTAACATCAACAATATAAATGACATGTTTTTCAGCCTTCAAAACTACCCAATATAGACTCCTATAAACAGGAATTGCAGTGTACTAGATTTGTTAATAGGCTTCAAACGCTGTTTTCTGGACTTTCTACCTTCCGGGAAATGATCTCCTAAAACTTTTTTTTTTTTTAAACAAAGTAATTTATTGTATTTTAGTTGAAAGTTTATACAGCACGTTAGGTTCCCCTTAACAACTTCCGTGCCACTGGATACAATATTTACAATGTTTCAGCACACTCTCATTTCCATTCTGTTTGTTCTGTTTCCTAAAATCTAGCGTTCCTTCCCCTCCTTGCTTACTCATCTTTGTTTTGGGGGAAATATTGACCATTTGATCTCATACAGTTAATTGTTTAACGGACTACATTATTCACGGGTGAGGGTAATACTGTTTATAAGCCAATCTATTATTTGGCTGAAATCTCCTTAAACGCTTGCACTCAAAAGTCACAGTGAAAGAACCCCTCAACCCCCACCCTAGCCCCAACCCTTAACCCCAGCTTTCAAAACTGCTAAAATCTTTCCAGGGGCCACAGGCTGTAGAGTGAGGGCTAGTTTCAGAAAGGACACACCCCTGGAAGGATGACGCCTAGTGTGGCACTGTGGGCTAATGCGCCAGACTGCAAAACGGTTTGCAGGGTCAGCGGTTCAAGCTCACCTGATGCTCCTTGGAAAACCTATACAGGATCTCTGTGGGTCAGAGTCGACTTGATGGCATTTAACAACAACAACAAACAACAAAACGTTTCAGTGGGTTTCCGACTTCTAAGCTACGAATCTGAAACTGAATCGGAACCATCACTACTCGATAGGAGCTTGGAGTTGGTCAGCCACCATTGGTCAGCCACTTTTGGCACAGGATGCAGGTGCTCAGGATGGTAGGGGCGCCTAACCGCAGTTCCTACCGCTCCTGGAGTCCCATCAGCGGCATCGCGCATTCACGCACCCCGCGACCCCCAAGTCTCCTGCGGGGCGGACGAGGCTCCGCTCACCCTTCTCCTTGGTTATGATGGAGATGAGTGGCACTCGAGGGCGGTCGCTGAAGACCTCGGCCTGCTGCACCAACGCCTCGCGCACGCTGTGGAAGTCGCTGAGAACCACCACCTGGTAGTGACCGATGAAGAAGCTGAAGATGTTGCCGTACACGCGAGCCATGTAGGCCAAGAACACCTGAGGGCTCAGAGCCGCTGGTTCCATCCCTGCACCCTTCGCCAGGCGGTACACCCAGCTCTGCCGCCGGAGGAAGGGCGGCAGCAGGACGTAGCCGAAGTTGCCTATCAGGGGCCAGGGCGTGGGCCCCGGGGGTATGCCGCGCGCCCGATGTCGCCGAAGCCAGCTCCAGCCCAGTAGCGCGGCCAGGCCCAGCAGCAGCAGCGCGCCGCCTGTAGGGTCGAGACGCAGCAGCCCCAGCGGCATGCGCAGGACACTCAAAGGCCAGGGTGGACCCTCGGCGAGGGGTTGCGGTGGCCCCGGAGAGGCCATGGTCCATGCACCAGCGTCGGCACGCGCACCTCACACTGAGTGCGGACCAGCAGAGTCCCCCAGACTCGCGCTCACACGCCCGCCCCTCCGCCGCCAGCCGCCAAGTCTGCGGAGGAAGGTCGGCGCCGGGAAGACGTCCCGGATTGGCTGTGCCCACCGTATACTCTCCGCCTCCTCCAATCAGCGACTTCCGAGAGGAACCCGGGGACTCGCCCGCAACCCGGCAGGGAAGCTCTGTGGACGAGAAGGGCGCCTCATCTGAAAGTTTGCCTTCAAAGTTCAGTTGTGCACTGGTGGCGTGACTGTCCTTCAGACACAGTTGCCTGCAGCCTAAACTTTGCTCTCTGATTGTCTTCAGATTTCCGTGTGTCAATCTGTTGACAAACAAATGGATATTGAGCTTGTAAAACATGCCCGGTCTGCACTAAGTGCTGTAGAGACTGCCGTAAACATGGTCCTGAAACAACGGGGTCTCAACCGAACATCTCTGCTCTCTGTCTGGAGAATACAGTCGCCACCTCATATCTTCCCAAGGACTTGACTCCCCAAGGTGTGGAGTTTTCTGGTAGCACTTAAAAGGACAAAGAGAGAGAGATTTTTCCAAACCAGGATTCACACACACACACACACACACACACACACACACAAGTTTCGTTTCCTCACCCAGAAGCAGCAGCAGGGTGATGGGCAATTAAAGAGGAGGTATACTCTGATGGTGTCGATGAATTCATGCTTAAGAAAGCAGTATGGGGGATGGCATAGAAGAGGGAGGCAGAGAAACCAGAAGACTCATTAATAACCTGCATTGCTAACTGGAAATGAAGACAACGTAAAGCACTTACTGATGAAGGTCAAAGGCTATACAGCCTTCACTATGGACTACACTGGATCATTACACAAACCTACTTCCATCAAGTTAATTTTGACGGTAATGACCTTATAGAACAGAGCAGAAATGCTCCATAGAGTTTCCAAGGCTGTAATCTTTTTTTGTTTTTGTTTTATTGTGAGTTGAGTGATAGTTTACATGGGAAAACATTAGTTTTTATACACATCCTATCATATTTCATTTCTTTGCAATAATTACAATCCCCTCCATGCATCATCATTCAACAGTATTTGCTTTTGCTTCTAGTCCCTCGGGGTTTTTTATGGTTTGTTTTTTATTTTTTAATGCACACAGAAACATTCAGGAACGTATAATCATTTGAACAACCAAAGGTCATATTCTGCAAGACTGCCTCCTGGCTCTTAGCACACAGCCTTTTTCTTTCCATGAGTCTGGAGTCCTCAGCTGCTCTATCTCTTAATGCTATCACCTCTACCTCCATCTCTGGTGTCCCTGCTTCTCTGGATGGGGCCCCACATTCTGCTTGTACTCTTCTCCCTTGATGGTCCTAGGGTCCTCTGTTCCTGGACTGTAAGATTAACTACTCCTCATTTTTGTTAGAAAACTTCTATCTTTACAGTTGTGACGATCTCAATTAGTCATGATAACTATTACTCACTATTGAATCATAAGAATCTTATCCCCATCTCCTTTCACCAGACCCATCTAGATAAGGTAAAAACTATTCAGTTGTGATTTTACCTCCCCCCTCGCACTCTGAAACTAAACTCTCTCTTGAAAACTTGTAAGCCAGTCATTTCGTGCCTTTATTGTCCCCTCACTCCACCCCCTCTTTTGAGGTAGCCAATGTCTAAGTTGCCCATCCCCATCAACTCTGTACAGAGGGTATAGGATTGATCCTTTATGTGAAGATTCCTTCCCTCTCAGTTGGTATTTTGAGCTACTACATCCATAAGTAAATGTCAAGTTCATCAAATTGTAACAATTTACACATTTCCTTGATCAAATTTCTTTATCTTCCTCTAGTCAAGTTCTGATCATCAAGCCATGGAAGATAGTCAAATGGGTAGTATCTGCAAGTTTGGGCATTCTTGTGTGTCGCCACTCACTTCATATCAGGAGGACGCTTCACTCGCAGCTCTAGCCCTCTGTGTCTCTGTCCTTGTTCATGGGCTAAGGAGTCCCCAGGTCTCACCTTATTTTGGACCAACCAGCCCTTCCTCTTCTTTCTTTCATCTCCAGGTCAATGGGAGTCTGTGGAACATGGTCGAGCTCATGCCATATCTTCAGTGCTGCCTTTCCCCCACTTCCACTCACCAATAAACCAACATGGTCACCAGCAAGCTTAGATGCCTGCTCATGTGTTCCCTTTGAGTTTCAGTCTTGGAAGGCGGTTTGTCCTGAAAGGAACTTGATTGCTTGCCTTGATGGCTACCTGGTGAACAACTTGCTTATTCTTGTAGTAGCCAATCCCAAGGCTGTAATCTTTAAGGTAGAACCTTCCTCTTCCAGAACAACTAGTGGGTTTGAGCAGCCAACCTTTTTAGTTAGTAGTACAATGCTTAACCCACTGAGTCACCAGGCATGTTTGTGTGTGCCCTTGGTAAAGCAGAAGATCTAATCCAGGTGTAAGCAAGAATTTTCTTGGGGCATTTACATAAATAGTGACATAAAAATAAAGTGAACCAGGTAGGGGAAAAGTGACAATATTATCACTAGCATTCAACCCAACCTGAAGTGCTTAGGTTGAACACTTAAATATAGCATTATAGAATATTGTTAAAGTCTTTCTTAATCTTCTGTGATAGTGGCGCTTAGGTGGTTCCCTTTCTGTCTTCTATAGGCCAAATCCTCTGATTTCTCTTTATGTTAGATCGACACATGTAGAATTGTAGACATCCAACCATCTTTTATCTGCTGAAAGGTCAGTTTCAAATGCCAATCTAACTCATCATTATAGACAAACCTGTTTATTTTCTGACTTCTGATCTTTCTCCTTCTTCTCTATGCACTAAAAATAATTAACACCACACTGTCCTTATAAATGAGTCCTGGTGTGGCGCTGTTGGTTAATGTGTTGGACTGAAAAATCAGCTTGGTCCGAAAGGCCAGTGGTTCAAGCTCACCAGTTGCTCCTCAGAAACCCTGTACAGGGTCGCTATGAGTCGGATGGCGACTCTTAATAACAAGTAATAAGTCCTTATAAAGATGTGACCAAAGTATAGTGACTCTTCTTTATCCATGTTATGATATGTCTAAGTTTTTTCTAATAGGATATGCTAGCTTTCAAGTTCACTCTATTCTCCTAATACTATTTTTTCCAAGTTTTTCTTTAGTTATTTTAAGGTTATAAACACACATACATCATGTCTTTTGTAATTAACCATCAGTTGTCAGATTACATTTCTTTTTTTATTAAATTTCTAAATTAACTGATAGAATTAAACTAAATTACTTGTTTATATTCAGTATGATCTTCATCATGTCTGATTTTCTTCATAGTCTTGTTCTCTGATATAGTATCTGTCAGGGACCTGCCTCGACATAGGGGTTCGGTTCACGAGGAGGAGATACCTGATGGCGATTCATATATAGCAAGAATACACAGAAAGAGACAATGAGGCACCCCAAAGCCAGGGTGGATACATCACTCGGGCTTATAGGGCCTATAGGGCCTCGAACCTCTGACCAGTCTTACACGATCTGCAACAAGTATCCATTAACGTCTTTCCTTACAAGCACCTTAAATCCACAAATGCTTTAAAAGATAACACTGGGAGTGCTTATTCTTCACCTGTGTCAAGGAATTTGGAAGACAGGTACCTAACCAACCAACTTGGAAGAAATTCATATTCATACCCATTCCAAACCAAAGTGATCAAACAGAAAGTAGAAAATTTCAAACAATATCATTAATATCGCATGTTAACAATATTTTGTTAAAGAAACAGCTGCAGTGATATATCACCTGTGAATTGCCAGAAGTTCAATCTAGATACATAAGAGAACGTTGAATGAAGGACATATCTGGTAATGTCAGGTGCCAGATGGATCTTAACTGAATGCAGAGAATAAGAAAAGGAGAATTACCTGTGTTTTATTGCCTACATGAAGACATTTGACTGTGCAGATCATATTAAGTTATGGATATCTTATGAAGAATGAGAATTGCAGAACACTTAACTGTGTTCAACTATGGCAGCTCTATTCTGTCACTATGAATTCACATCAGCACAAAGGCTATGAGTTTGGTTTTGGAATGTAAACTTGGATCAAGAAGAGGTCATTCAAACAGAAGAAGAGAACACTGGGTGATTTAAGACTGGAAAAGGTACATGGCAGGGATTACTTTTGTCCCTAAATTATTTAATCTGTATACTGAACGAATACTCTGAGAAGCTAGGCCACAGAAAGAACATGGCATCAGGATTTGAGACTCAATAATCTGCCTTGCTGGCTGAAAATGAAGACAACGTGAAGCACTTACTTATGAAGGTCAAAGACAATACTATGGATTACACTGGAACATAAAACCAAAATCCTCACAACTGGACCAATAAACAACATCATGAAATAGATGTTACCAAGCGAAGAAATAGAAGTTACCAAGCATTACATTCTAGTTGGATCAAACATCAATACCTATAGAGTTATTGTTGTTGTTAGGTGCCATTGAGTTGGTACCGACCCGTAGCTACCTTATGCACAGCAGAACGAAACACTGCCTGATTCTGGGCCAAGCTCACTACTGTTGCCACGCTTGAGGCCATCAATGCTGCCACTTTGCCAATCCATCTCGTTGGGGTCTTACTCTTTTTCTCTGACCCTCCATCTTACCAAACATGATATCCTTCTCTAGTGACTGGTCCCTCATAACAATATGTCTGAAGTATGAGAGATGAAGTTTGGCCATCCTGGCCTTCAAGGAGCACTCTGGCTGCACTTCCAAAATGGATCTATTGGTTCCTTTGGCAGCCCATGGTACCTTCAATGCTCTCCTCCAACACCATAACTCAAAAGCATCAATTTTTCTATGTTCTTCCTTGTTCACTATTCAGCTTTCACATGCATATTAGGTTATTGAAAATACCATAGCTTGGTCAGGCGCACCTTAGTCCTCAAGCTGACATCTTTGCTCTTCAACACTTTAAAAAGTTCTTGTGC